TATGTCTTTTGTGGAGAAAACTTAATGCTCCAGTGCTTATATACTTTTCTGTGATTTCTTAGTAGACTTTAAAAAAAAAACAAGTTTACGATTTCAGTAAGACTTTTTTAAGTCATGAACTCGATGAAAGTCAGCTTCGTTCATGACTCGCTCGCTGTCACCTACCTGCGTAAACATCTGCAGAAAAGGCCACTGAATGATGAAACGATTCAAATGATTCGATTCACCTAGATGAATCACAATCTCCAGAACTAGTGGCTAGGAACTAGTTATTGGCCTGATGTTACTCCTCCGGATGATGTTTTGGGAGCACACTTGTAGGGAAACAGCTGCGCTTTGATAATACAGAAGGAAATTTATATCATACGTTAATATTTAATAAAAATGGAGGATCAAGAAATGCAGTTGAAAGTAAAAAGAGGTACCATGGATATATTCTGAGTTTTGATGTCTATTGATTCATGTTTTATAATCGACGACTCAAGTGTACTTGTGTTTACATTATCGTTAACATTTAATTTACAATACTGAATTGATTATTAGACGCCTTATTTAAGCGTGTCAATAGTCTGATTTGAGATGACACATAATTTAATACGAACCTGATGAAGAGATACTGATTATATGTTTTGTTTATTTCTGCTACAGTGACTGATAAATTCACAGAGAGTATGTATGTTTTGGCCAATGAACCGTCGATAGCGCTTTATAGGTTACAAGAGCACGTCAGGAGATCCCTACCAGAGCTCGTGCAACACAAGGTAAGTTACCTTATTTTAATGTGTTTCATTTGTTGCCTAGCCTATATTACAGTAATACAGACAATACATTTGCCTAAACACTGTAATTTGGTTATTTTTAAAGATATTTGCCTGAATGATTAACATTTGACCTGCCATATTAGAATCTCACAGGGTTCACGTAAGAATCTCACTTTACATTAGAAATTATAATAGTAAATTATAAAATTTATTTTTTTTTGCTGGAAAACAATGCCATACTGTGTAATATATTACTGATTTATTATTTCCTGTTACAACAAGCAACTGTTAAAAACCCCATCTTTTCAAAATATCCTACACTTATTAGTTTAACTTAAGCTTTTTAATAGGGTATGTTTGTTATATTATGTTCTATGTTTTGTCATGTTTTATTGTTGTTATTTATTGTCTTATGTTAAATATTATATATTATTGTCTTATATTGTGTTTTAATTTAGCCTATTTGTAGTGCATTGGGTATGATAAAGCACATTATAAATAAAATGTATTAGTATTATTGTAGCAAGCTGACTTAAGTGTTGTACTCATTTATTGTAGACAGACATGCAGGTGTTGTGTATTTATTTTGTTTTATTTTAATGTATTATCTTTGTATTTTTGTAGCACTTTGGGTTTGGGAAACTTGCATAATAAATCAAATGTATTCTAATATTATTTTATTATCAAGTTTACCTAAGTGTTGTAATTATGAATTTGTAGACTGATATGCAGATATGTATTTATTTTGCTTTATCATTGTTATTTATTGTATTTTCTTTTATTTTTGTAGCACTTTGGGTATGAGAAAATTGCATTATAAACAAAAATATATATTTATTGTTATTATATTAGCAAGTTGACTGAAGTGCCGTGATGAATTGTGAATTTGTAGACAGACATGCAGAGTTGGGAGGAGCAAAGTCAAGGAGCAATCTACACTGTTGAATATGCATGCAGGTAAGATATATATATATATATATATATATGATATATAATTTTTCTTTGCTTGTTTGCTTCACTTTTAATTTGCTCACTTTTTCTGTTTTTAAACATACATGTCACTTCAGTGCTGTGAAACCTGCAATTAATCCAAATGATACACCCACACACACTTCAATCACACCACCTTGACTCATGGAAGTCTTTTTCCAAGGTTAGTTTTACTTCATTTTTGTTTGTTTTTTTCTACATCACGCATGCCGTGTTAGTGGTAATTTGATAGTTTATGTACAAAATTTCATAAAAAAACAACAACATTTCATAGTATTTCAGTTTTATTATGACAGAAATGTTAAATACCGATTCAGATCAGCTTCTCCCATAAGTTATTCAATTATGCTATTTTTCTTAACTTTTATAGTTGTATTGTTCTGTTCCAAAATATGTCTTTCTAGTAAAAAAGAGAGCAATTCGCTATCCTACAGCTACACAAATTCTCAAGTATTTCAGTAGTTATTTCACATTTTAACAATTAGTGTGATTTCTAACACCTGTAAGTTGATATTAGGTGTACGAAAAATAAATTTTTACATATTTTCCTTTAAATGTCACATAAATAATTTAAGATGCAATAATCTGATGAAAAAGCAGTACATTGTGAAATATTATTACAATTTTAAATAACTATTTTCTATTTTAATGTATTTTAAAATGTAATTTATTCCTGTGATGCAAAGCTGAATTTGTCTTCAGTGTCACATGATCCTTCAGAAAGCAATTATTTAAACTGTAATAATATTACACAATATTAATGTTTTAAATGTTTTCATCAAATAAATGCAGGCTTACAGAACATAAGACACTTCTTTCAAAAACAAAAACAAAATCTTAATTATTCCACCAGTGTCTATGTGTATATGCTGTATGTATGTGTGTGTATGTATGTATATATATATCACAGAACATGATCTTTACTTAATATCCTAATGATTTTTGGCATAAAAGAAAAATCAATAATTTTGACCCATACAATGTTTTTTTAGCTATTGCTACAAATATACCCCAGCGACTTAATACTGGTTTTGTGGTCCAGGGTCACATATATAAATGACAGTACATATTGTATTATTTAATGCCCATCTTAACATCAAACTAGATGTGATACCATTCATACTAAAGTTGAATCCTTAATCGTGG